AACAGTTCAGTCCTTGCTTAAGTCCTTTATTAATTTGAATGGGGAAGCTGAAAGATGATGGCCTTGTGAAGGCAGGAGGATGAAGGATACCCTGTGGGTGGTAGAGAACTTAGAACGCAGGAGAAAGGGGCACTTAGAGGCAGCTGAGAAGACAAATGGATTTTTTTTAGAAGTTTTACCATGTCCCAGATTATATTTACTCACAGACAAGTGAAAGCACTGTTCCAAATATTTCCTCCCTGTAGGACAGGCAACTAACCAGACGTGCATTTTGAGTTGTGGTGAAATGGAAGCTGTTACTACTGCTTTGAATTTAGATTTTGTATCCAGTTTACTTCAGAATACCTAAGAACTCCAAGATCAGAATGGGGAGTGATGCTTTAGGGCGTCTGAATTAAACAGATGACAACACTTGGACTGAAATTTAATTCTATCTTAAACATACAATTTCTGTTAAAATGCCACTAGAGTTAACCTGCTTTTATACATTGTGACAATATTTAAACCTGTTAGTTACTTATACATTAGCGTGAATATTTAAGCAGATAAAATTACTGCTTTTCTCATTAATACTTGACTGAGATCAGATACTAAGGAAATCAGAATATTGGTAGAAAAGGAGAGGTAATTTTATAATTTACATCTTTTGTGCAGGATCATGTGGGACACTGCACTTGTTAACTTTGGGTGACATTTAAGAATTGAGTGCAGCCTGGTGAAGTAGAGTAGATTGGAGCCAGGATAAGTCTGGATTAGTGCAGGGCCTGACCTCCTTAATCATTTCTGATATGGTAACTAATATCTCCCCATCCACCCCTATTTGATCATTGTTACCTAACTTATTTTGCAGCACATAATTCAAATATCAGAAAGTGGGAAAAGGTTTCAGTGAAGGTTTTCCACCCATCTGTAGTAAGACATAGAGAGTTTCCTTTAGTAGTTACACCTACTTCCTTCCCGCCTACCCCCTTTCTCCTTAATACCTGGTAACCATCAGTCTAGTCTCCATTTCTATAATTTTGTCATTTCAAGAGTGCTATATAAATGAAATCTATAGCATGT